CGCCGGTACCCCCAGCCGTACCCGCATCGTCCACAGCAGAAAGGAGCTTGCCCCCAGCTCCTCTGAACATTATCCAGCCCTCGGAGACACCAGTTGAGGAAGATGACTTTAAACCCCGGCCCATCATTCCCATGCTTTATGTGGTTCCACGGACCAAAAAGGTGGTGTTTGACAAGGAGCGCATGTCCTGCCAGCAGGCCTTTGAGCAGTTTGCCAGGCAAAAGAGTCCAAGTTGGCAGGAGCAGGTGGTCCCTATGGAAATCCCTGTGAAGGAGGAGGAGAATGCAGAAGCAGAAAACAGAGAGGTTGCTGCAGAGGTCAGTGATTTACAGGTATTCATGACCAAGGAGGTGACTTTAAGATTTGCTAGTTTTAAGCGACAAGTTGAGGACTGAACTTGGAACAAGAAGAGTTCTCAGTTGTGCCTGAGCCTCCAGTGGAGTAGTGCCGTGTTGGCAAGCCATAGAGTTCTTTTACAGGAAGACATCGATTATTTGCTCACAGTTCAGTCCATCATTGTGTTGATGCTAGCTGATTAATCAAACTAATTATTGTCTTCAAAAGATAATCTCTTTTCCTGCTACTGATAGTACAGATAATACTGAAACGATCATCTCAAACAGTAGGCAGGAAGACCCAGCACAAGCAAGTGGCTGCTGCAGAGCAGCTATTCCGAGACTGGTAAAACCCAACAATCCCCAGGCAGGGGAACTTCGATTGCACCAACACTTTAATAATTCTTCTCCCTTGTTTCTGACTTCTCCAACTGATGTGCTTTATGCTTCTCCAGCACATACTTCATGCTTCCAAGGTTTGGCCTGCTATGTGGTGTTGCCTAGGGACCTTTACTGTCATGAGATTTAGCACTGGAAAAGTTGGCAGAACGCTTTTTTTCACAGACAATATATTGTTCATGACATGTAATCTGTCTCAGGCATCTCTTTTCCTTGGGGAGTGCTTTCCTGAGGGCAGTTTCCGAAAGAGGAAGGAGGAAAATGTTTAGGAATTAGCAGCAAATCAGAGCAATGTGATGTAGCTCTGTTTTCCTGCCTGATGCTGCTGAAAGAGCCAAGGAAATGGCAAAGCACTGTTAGAAAGTGTAGGGACAGGGGGAAACGCGCATTGCCATGGTGGCGTGGCGCAATGGGCATACCTTTCTAAGGTATAAACGTTTCTAAGACATAATGGCTGCAGACTAGAGAGGAAAAGCCACTGTGCCAGGCTGGGCTGCCCTAAGTACCATCACTTCTGCTCGCTCCTGTGTAAAACGGAACGTACTTGGATTTCACTCTTGACGCTGCCACACTGCTGCCTGCCTTCGTGGCTGTGAACCGAAGCGCGGGGTGCTCTCCCTTTCTGGTGCGAAGTACCTCCCCTGGGAGGCGTTCGGTGCCTGGCACCAGCGGGGCTGTGAGCCCCTGTGCCGAGGATGCACGCAGAGTTTACGGTGTTGGCTGGCACACGGGGCACTGGGGTCCAGTACAATATAAATGTGCTTGTTATAAAATGCATTATAACATTCTAGTAAAATGATTCTGGTCCTCTCTGCCCTGTATGTAGTTTTTGTGCTAGAATTCCTAGCTGTTCATGTGATTTAACCAGACTTTTCATTAGTTAAAGGAATTGGCAGGCTTGACGCTGGTCTGAGACTGTTCTGATTTTAAGAAAACACTGTAGTTTACCTTTACCTGACATCTTAAGAGACAGCAGTGGCTTTATCTACTACAGTAATTGGCTTGGGAGGCTGTGTTGATGGCAGCCGAAAGGCAGTGAAAAGTTTGCTGTGTAAGTTCAAGAACTCTTTACGTCAAGGATTCCACCTCTGTCCTGTGCTTTCCTTTGCTTGCCGAGATATTTGGGGTTCCCATCTAGCTCGTTGTGCTTTGTTACAGGCTGCTTCTGCTTTTTCAAAAATGAAGATGGAGATAAAAAAGAGCCGTCGTCATCCACTGGGCAAACCACCAACCCGCTCCCCATTGTCGGTGGTTAAACAGGAGACCTCGAGTGATGAGGGTGAGTGCACTGGCATTAAGAATCTTGTATGTCTTGTCTGATCTGAAAAATTGCTGAAGCCATTAACATAAACTGGATGGCCTGGAACTTTTTGTGTTACACTTAACTGATAGAAAATGCAGCATGTTCCCATTTTGATAACCCAGCTGGAAACAAAATTTCGTCCGTGGGAGGTGTCCCTTCTCACCTCCCACCCTTTTTTTCTCTCAAGAAAAATATTTTGCTGGCTGCAGAATGAGGCAGCATTTTGGGCAAAGGGAAAAAAGAGTTCACAGAAAATAACATCTTAAAGTAAAAGCTCTATCTTAGGTATTGCATTAAAATGAGAGCTGTTTGCCTCGGAGGGAGGTGGAGGTTAGGTCTGCTCTTATGTGTATAGGGAAAATTAATTGTAACTTTTTGGTTGGCTTTTTAATTCATGTGAATGTGGGGGTCCAACTTTTCTTGGCAGATCCAGAAATGAGAACTGGAAAGTCTCTCAGTGCTTAACTGTACATCGCTGATTTTTCTTTTCCCACGTTCCAGTTGCTGTGAATGCCATAACAGCGTAGACCAAAAAAAAAGACGCCTCTCGGTTCTGTTGTGAGGTGTAACGTACCGCTTCTGGGTCTTGTCCACCTTGTGGAGTACTCTGAGTGTAGACAAGTCCACAGCAAGAAGCTTTTGCGTGCTGGGGCAGGTACCCAAAGGTATAGTGGGCGGTCCCTGTTTTCAGGGTACTTAGAACTTTATGTTCAAAAGGACAATGTCTTCCCTGTTCTTTTTCCTTCAGAGAATGTATCTACTGATCTTAGAGAAACTTTGTGTGGGAAGGGGATATTCTGTACATCCATAGCTCCATTTCCTTACCGAGGATGATGCGTTTGACGTCTTGCATATGTGTAATGTGGATTGAAGCGTTGAAAGGCAGTTGAGACTAGTTATCTTGTTTTGGCGTGAGACCTTGCAACAAACTTTGTGCTGAAGGATCCTCATTAGACAGATTCTTTTCACTGTTTTGACTTCTTGGATGGTGTACAGGGACTTTGCTGGCTGACTCAGGAGCAACTTTCTGTGAAAGCTGGCATTTCTTGGGGACTGATTTACAGCACTGTTGGGCAAAATCTGATCAAACAGATTGTTCTCTTCCCCACCAGGGAATAGGAGCAACTCTCTGCGCTCCTTGCTTTTTCAGGGCTAATGTATGAGGATGATGTGGAGGCCGCAGTGAGGGAGAGTGAGCATGTAAATTAAGGGAATGCATATGCTGCACTAAGGTTCAGTTGAGACAAACTGTTAGTCTTTTCTACTTGTGTATAACTTGCTTGAAATGTAGGAGCATTCCAAACGCTGTGTGTCACCTAGAATCCATCCTGGGATGAGCGAAGGTGATGATCAACATACACAGTCATTTCCTTTTTTTTTTTTTCCCCTCAGTCTATCACTCTGCATTATGATGCTGCTTTCATTGATTTCACTGGTACCATAAATCCTTGCCTGTCTGGTGATGTGCCTTGACTAAAATGTGGAGAAGCATGTGGTTTGGTTTTTGGCTCGTGTCTTAAAATGTCGTTAAAGGTGCTTGATTTCTTCAGAAGGTGAGGGTTGAGCTCTGCTTTGAAAGTAAAGGCATCTAGGAGGTATCAGTCTGCAGACCCGAGGTCACTGGTCTGTTTTCAGGTGAGCACGTGTAGCTGAAGGCTGTAGGACACGTCCTTGTAAAGCTGTGTTGTTATGAGGGCCGGCTGTGGTCTGAGACACGCTGAAGTGGCAGTCTGCTCCTGGCATGGGTAGTATCTTCCCCTAGGAAGGACAGCCTAACTGCCCGCTGGCAAGGCTGTTTCTAGTCGTCTCCCTTTCCAGCAGAATCCTATGCGGTGTTGTGGAGAAGGCTGTGGTATAAGTAATTGTTGTTAGTCTTTGGATACCAAGATAAAAATACAGTAAGAAAAGATGCTTTTTAGGAATTAACCTTCGTTTGAAGTGTGACAGAGATTCACAGATGGCATTCATCGTATCAAAAAAAGGTTGAAGAATTAAACACAATAAAATTTCCTGTGTTGTCTGGCGAATATATATCAGATTAGTTATAGGGGAACATTTAAAATCTGAGATGTAGAGATGCAGAACACTGCCCTTAGTGTCTTACTACAAGTTCTTTTTACCCTTTCTGGTAACCCAAGAGTCTGAAAATCTTAACAGGGAGGAGACTTGGACTTGTTGAGAGCAGAACATTGACTGACTATTTCCAGTAATTAACAGTGAAGAGTTTGATTTCATGTGCTGAGCGCTGGGGATAATGTTCCGAGAAGTTTTTGAGTTCTTCTGGCCAAAGCTATTCGTTTGGAAACTTTGCGGACTGACAATGTAATGAGTGAGTTAAACTTAGTCTTGTGTGGAAAAGTTCTTTTAACACTTCCAGCGACTCGAAATTCCTTAATAAGGAATGGTAAGAAAGTTGGACCCCCAGACTGACACAAATGGATTCTGTGGTGGTTGAATCATAAAGTGCCAAGGGCCTTTTAAAGGTTTTGTAAAAACAAAGAATTAGCAAACTAATTAGCACAAGCAGTACCTATCAGAGCTCTGGCAGAAGAAGTGGTGGTGGGGAATGCAAATTGCAGGCTTAGTGGTGTGCGCTCGATGTAGCTGGGAAGCAGCTGCAGAAAGGTAAAATGACAGCCTGAGCCCAGGGAATCTCCTGGCCAAGGTTCGTGTTTGCAGAAACAGGTACGGGGTGCACTTGGGAAGGTTGAAACAGGCTTGCTGCTGACTGGTGGGAACTGGGAGCTGGCCTAACCAAACCAACACGAACTGCACGCGCATCTTCCGGAGACTGCAGCTCCCCGCTGGAGAAAGGAAAGGGAGAATTTCCTTGCGCTTCCATCATGCATTTTGAACTTGGCTTCGCTAAAAGGATGTTGTAGGTCTCCACAGCTAGCAAGTGGAGAGTTATGAAGGCAGTAAATCCAGATTCTTGTCCTTATTCTTCCTCGTGGCCAGTTCCATTAGGTCATTGGTGGCTCTACCTTGTCTATGCTATCCATAAAGTGGAGATTAAATCCATATGAGGAAGTGTTTGAGGCACGCACGTACGAGGAACCATGGATGAGTTCAGTGTTCTGGTTTATTGAGCTTCTTGTCGAAGCATCAGCTGTTTAACCCTGCCTTGCTGCGGTTTGCCTCTCTCTCCTGTTTTGCCTGTACTGACTGTTGCTTTGGGATCTTTTTCTTTCTAGAAACATTTCCATTTTCTGGGGAGGAAGATATGAGTGACCCAGAGGCTTTGAAATCTTTACTTTCCCTCCAGTGGAAGAATAAAGTACATAATTTCCCAGCTGAAAGAAAATTCAATGCAGCTGCCGCCCTGAGCGAGCCATACTGTGCTGTCTGTACCCTTTTCTACCCGTATAACCAGGTAATTCCTGATACTGCTCCGATGGACGTGTCAGTGGTGGGTGCTGAGTGGTGGCTACTGTGGAAGTTACGATGCAGAGCTTTGTAATAAAGAAGACACAAATTTGCACACCGAAGTGTGCTTGGATTTGGCAGAGACAGTGGATGGAGCCTTTTTTTGTTATCTTTCCTGGCTTCTCTGGCGTTCTCAGCTTTGATTTTTTAAATCACACTTAAAGAGCTTTGCACTGCAAACACTATTTCGTGCGGAGAAACGATGCCATATGGGGCATGTGATCGCTCCTGTTTAGATACAGGCCTGGGCTCTGAATATATGCAAACAAGCAGCAAAATAAAAATTTACTGAGTAAGCACATACATCATTTTTTGGAAACTACCAATATGCTTTGGGGTATATTATGAGCAGAAAAGCAAAATTTATCAGATGAATTAGTTATTTGCCCAGTTGTGTATTGATTTGTTCTTGCATGCTTATAGAGCCAAATCTGGCGTTGTGTGCCCGCTAGGAATACGCGCCTCGGATGCATATATATGTGTTGGAAGCTTTTTCGGAGAAAAGTGGAACCCGCCTCCCTCTTCAATAAAATATCTTGATTTATTATACAGACCGAAAATAAAATATCTGTTCTAATTGCTGGATGTTGTTGTATAATGGTTGTAAGGAAAACCGGGTGCAGATGGGCTGTTTTAATCCATTGTTTTTAACTGTGGTCTGCTACCAGAAACCTTGAAATGTCCTTCAGGAGAAATTCTTGCAGAAAGAGTAGGGAAGGATGCCAAAAGGATGGGAGAGGGGGAGGGAAGGTTTTGCTTTTATTAATTTTTTTTTTTTTCCTTGTTGTTTTCATGAGCAATTTAGGAATTTAGATTTTCACAGAAGAAAACCAGGGAAAGCTTCTCATTATTCTAATGCTTCTTGGAGCTTTCAAAATAAATTACAGATCCCAGTACAGGCTGAAGGAAGAGAGAGAGAGGAGCGAAAGGCAGGGGTGGGGGTGTGCATGAGCAGACGGGATTTAAAGTTCTTTCTTTGTGCTGCGTGGCGTCAGGTGTTGGGTGACTTTTTTTGCAAGGGAGTGCTCTGGCTTTGAAGTTAAAACTGTGACCAGGGAAGAGGCGATTCCATATGATGATGTTTTCTCTTTAAGTCCTTACAGATGGATAAAGAAACTGTCCCAGTCTCCGTAGGGGAGACCACCTCTTTCGTCCACCTTTCTAAATGCGGACAAAAGACCAAGCCTCTGATCCCAGAGATGTGCTTTACCTCAAGTGGCGAAAACACAGAGCCCCTTCCTTCAAATTCATATATTGGAGAGGATGGAACCAGTCCCTTGATATCCTGTGCCAAATGCTGCCTGCAGGTTCATGCTAGTGAGTGTTTCCTTCTTCACCAAAACATTTTGGGTATAGAGAAACTCACAAGTTTCTTTGTGCGTTGCCTAGATTTGAATTGTTCTGGGCGTGCTTGCTGTACCTCACTCCCACTTTTTCGTTTTGTGGTACTAATATGTCTGTATGTTTGAGTCCATCTGGTCAGTCACTGAACTCAAAAATACACGCAGATCGTCTTTTTACTGTTTGTGATGTCGGCTGACACTTCTCTGTCTCACAGAAAATATTCTTTTGTTATCTTTCATTTTTTGTAATAAAGCAGAAATCATAAAGCTGATGATTGCACTCTTTTCGCTTGTTCAAATATTGGTCTGCTGGGTAGGGTTGTATTGTTCCTGTGTGCATCAGAGATGATGGAGTAGTTTCTGAGATATACTTTATTAGTGTCTGTGTCACTGTTTGTAGGAATGGCACTTGATTACAAAAAGGAACATATGTCTGTTTGTTTCCCTGATAGTTAGGTCTAAAAGAAGATCGGATTAATCCTGGTAGAGTGTACCTTCGCTGCGGATTGTACGACATCTAGTTAACATTTGCGCTCGTACTAGGAGATGCGACGAATTACTGTTCAGCTGTTTGATCTTGACAGATGGGAAATCTTATCTGACTCGCATCAGCTGGAATTACTTTTGTTGTTCCAGTTTTATAGCCCACAGGTCACCGTGCAGCTCCGCATGGCTCTCTCTTGCGGAGAACTAGAATGCAACTGTGTTTCTGTGCTGCGTCGTGATGGTGGTCGCTTCTGGCTACTAAGAGCATGGAAGGCAGAGGGAGGGTGAGGGTAGGGGCTGCTTTCTTACTTCACAAAAGGCGATCAGAACAGAGCTGCTGCATCTTGTATAGCCGTATGTCTTCAGTAGCCCAGTCTCTCAAAGTGGTTTCAGTGGCCAAATTCTGTTTAGAGACAGAGGAGTGTGGGCAAGGTGATGTTAATCTGCAGTCTCAGACAGGGGGTAGAGAAATTTAGCTTTCTCTTTTGGCTGTGCTCTACCCTTGAGGATAGGACAGAAGGTAAATCTAGTCCGATGTGATCTCCCGTGTCTTGTTTCCTTGTCGCTGTTTGTACTCCCAGACTGTGATATCCCTTTCACTTTGCTGCAGAGAATCCATTTGCTTTTATTACAGGATTGCAGTGTTGAGGTGTGTTTTGGTTATTCTGGCAGCACGCTGTAAAACCAGTTGGCAGTCTGCTCGTTATTGAGCAGTGCCCTCCCCCAACTGTGCTAGGTCATGACAACAGCAAGGACGTACAGAGAAGAGGTTTTGGGAGGTTTCTGCGCTTTAAACGTGTTGACAAAACCCATAAAAGGACCACACTCTTCCCATTCCCTTAGGATCGTCCTTATGGGACAGTCTGCTGTTCAATAGGTGTGGTTATTTCTCACCTCAGATCCCATAGTCCAGCTACCTGTGGTCCCGAAGCAAAAACTCAATGCTGACATTTCAGCCTGTCCTACACCATTTTGAGCTCCAGCAGCATTTCAGTTAAAGGTGTCTGTTTCTCTTTCAGCTCGGTTTTCAGATGAGTTTTTTTAGATTCAACACCGCTGCCTGCTTTCTAGGACTGGGTTGAATCTGTTTTCTTGCTTTGCTGTGTGATGAAAAGAGACTTCAGATGTGGAAAACAGCTGTGGATCTATATTATTGACTTTTTTTGACATAATGTTTATCTGGTTAAGTGGATGATTTTTATAAATCAGGTTATTGTGGCGATCTCTGTGCTTTCTGAATAACTTCTTTTCAGTTTAATTCAGTAATGGGAGAGTCTCCAGCTGAAATTTTATATTTGGTTTTGTTAGGATAGGTAAAGGCCATGGGATGAACTTTGTGTTAGCTAAGCTGGCCAGCAATTTGCGGTATGTTTCCTTTTCTGCTACAGGCTTTCTTTGCAGGCTTGCGGGAATCGTAGATCCAATTTTTCAAAAGTAGTTGTATGTCTTGTCCCTATTGTCTTCAGTGGCAGACCTCAGTGCCTTTGACAGAATTTTAAGGGCTTTTTCTTTTTATTTCTGTCTTTATAAAGAGTATAATACCACTGTACTATTTTGGTGCTGCAGAGGGGTATGTAGGAGGATTTGGTGCTTGCATATTGCAGTTGTCGACACTCTGTAAAGTCTGATGTTTCGAACACCTCGTATAACCAGAATTAGTATTAGTTTAAATACTCTTAAATATGTGAAATGCAATGTTAGTGGGTTTGTCCTTCCTCTTAGCAAAGATGACTGCATCAGACATGCTAAAATTCAGTGGTCTTAACTGTCTTGATATGTGAGTGCATTCCAGCAGTAGTAGCATCACTTTTGAACCCAGTTCTTGCCTGAAGGATCAAAGTACTGCTGTTGTAGTCCTTGCAAGAAGAGAAAAAAATAACGTCGAGGGTTACCTGCGCGTGGTTTTTTGGTTTGTTCGTTTTTAGACCTGCTGGTCCCAAATTCTGCCCCCCTTGCCAAAGATGACTTTCCTTCTGACTTTCGTCTGAGCCTAGGCTACTGAATATAGTTATTCAGATGCTAAACCCGCTTTCAAAGATGCTTCTGAATTGAAAAGTCAACAAGTCAATACTGCAGACAGTTAGCAAAACCCTGAAGGATGTCACTTCCATTTCTTTCAGGCTGTTACGGGATACGTCCAGACTTGGTGAATGAGAGTTGGTCTTGCTCACGGTGCGCAGCCAACGCATGGGCAGCGGTAAGCATCTGCTCTTCTGGAGACAAAGGAAGTCTTACTGTGGGAGTGAGTTAGGTGCTTCAACAGAGGTGGGTGGTGGGAAGGCACGATTTGCCTTTGCATCCCAGATGTGGTATAGTCATTTCCTGGGAAAGATGGGCGGTCTGGCAGAGCTTTTTGGTCCAGTTCTGAAGGAGTTTTGTTCCTACAGGAATGTTGCCTGTGTAATCTCAGGGGAGGAGCTCTTCAGATGACCACTGATGGGCGGTAAGTGAGGGTTTTTAGTACTTTTTCCTTCCATACTGCATCCAGTCTTCAAGCGTTGTGAATTTGGTCTCGATGCTCAGTGTAGCCGCTAGCTTTGGCATTGTGGAGGTGACTGCTACTCGCTGACTTGACAGGATGAGCTGGAGTACCTGTGCTGTCTTACACTCTGCACCAGGCTTCTCAATAGCAGAGTAACATGGCTCTGAACACTTGTAGAATTTGGTTATTTCTCAGAGAAAAGTCTCTGCAGAGAATGTTCAGTATCATGCAAGATCAGATGCATAAGAAGTTGCTCCCTGTTGTTCCAGAGACATTTACCTTGTGCGGCCGTGATTAACAGTCAGTTGGTAATGTTGCCAAGGCTGCCAGCCACCATAAATATGCCTTGATACTGAGGGAGTTCGGAGAAATGTTAACTGGCCTCTTGAGTATTTAATTCAGACTCTGATTGACTCTTCACTTTTTTTTTTTCCAGGTGGATCCATATAATCTGTGCTATTGCTGTCCCCGAGGCCCGTTTTCTCAATGTAATAGAGCGTCATCCTGTGGATATCAGTGCTATTCCAGAGCAGAGATGGAAACTGGTAGGTGTCTTCTGCCTGTAGAGAGTGTTTGTGAACAAGAGTCAAAAAAAAAGAAAAAGAAAAAGGCTTTAACTAGATAGAAAAACATTGTGTGGAATCATAAAGTAGCTGAGATTGGAGGTAATGTTCTCACTCTTATTTCTAACAAATGCACCAGGAACCTGTATCACTTGGATGTCTTCAGAGGTGCTGCCTCAGTGCTTTGATACACAAACAAGTTGTGATTCGTAGATCTGCCTTTACTCTCTAGGAGTGTGCTCTTCCCTTGGGCAGAGGCTAGGATGCTTACTCACCTCTCAGTCAGGGCTAAACTGCCCGAAAGCTTCATTTACTGGAAGTACTGCATGGCAGGAGTGTGAAGGGACGTGGTAACTAGGAAGAAGCTGACATACTGCTGACCTGTTCATCTCTAATTTGATTTGTCTTTCCTTACAATTAATAAGCATTTCTTTGTGACCATGACTGCAAGGCAACACCCTGCAAAGGATTTAAGTCCAGCTACTGCTTGTTATTTAGTTACGTAGCCTTGTCTGAGGGATTAGTAATGGACAATTCATGAGCTCAGAGCAATTAATGTTACTTAATGCCCCATCACTATAGTGTGTTATTGCAAAAGAAATTGTGCTTCTGCTGCTTTTTTCATACAGAAGTCAGCTGGGCAACAGTTGGGAGTGCGGTACGGGGGGAGGTGATGTGCAGTGGTACGTTGGTTCGTGTTGATGTGTTTGTTAACTGCAGCTATTTAGTGCAGGCAGCCCAGCCAGGGCCTGGGTGAGAGAGCAGGAAAAGTCTGTCTGCTTCCAGAGTTATTTCTCTGTTGTGCAAATGGGTTTGGTACACAAATGTGAATGCAGAAAGCATTCATTATTCAGGTGGAGTGATGGAGCAGTGTGATGTGAGAGTGATAAATCTTGCAGCAGTGGTTCTTTATGGATCATCTGACATTTCCAGCATGCATCCTCTTCATTATCAGCCCTTGTAACGATGAACTAAAAATCCTTTTACACAAGACTCACTTGTATTGCTTAATGGAGCCTCACAAGCAAACATGACTTAATTCTTTAACTCTTCCGTGGCTGCCTTGCAGTCCCGTAGAGCCGGGGCAGTATTAACGTAGGTCAAACTCTGTTGGTTCGTTCTGCTCTGAAGCATTGGCTGCACCACCCAAAGCCTCTGCCAGGCCTGCTACACATCTTCTTGTTTCATTCCTGAATTAAAGCTTTGTAGGTTCGTTGATTTCTTCAGCAGTGTGTTCCATCTGCACCTCATGTTTTTTTCACGGCTCAGGAAAGGGTAGAGAATTTTTCTGTGTTGTACCTTGACTTAGGTGGTCTAATGATGTGACTTACAGGCACCTATTCCTTATGTTGAAGTTAGCAAGAGCCTGGCTTTCAGCTCAATTGTTGTCAAAGCCTGGCTTTAAGCACTTCACTTGGAAAGTGTCAGTATGGATGGTGCTGCACACTGCTTCATTATAACCAGGGTAACTCTTCTAGAGGTGTAAGGTTGGTTTATTTCTGCCAGGATCTGTGATGACCCTGCCAGCAGGGCTTGTTGGCTACTCCAGGTAGCTTTGGACACAGCTTCAGGTTTTGGTCTTGACTTTCTGTCAACTCGCCAGCATGATCCCTCTGTAAGATGTCTGGTGCCCCTATACAGCTAGCCCAGCTGTTGGGATGCAAGAATTAGACTTTCAGCCCAATTACTCTATGTTTAAGAATGGCATCAGGATAGTACTGATGTATTTAGACTGATTACAAAAATCTTTCTGCTCTGTGTTGGTCTTTATTTGTGAACGCTGTTACGACAGGTAGGCGTGCACCATCGATTTATTAGAGTTATGAACTAGATAAAGATTAAAAAAATTACTTTGGATGGCAGAACGTACAGGCAGCGGTGCTTTGAGCAGCAGCATTGGTGTAGCGTGTGAAGAAGTACAAGGGAAATTTAAATTGGATAAGGTTGTGTGGAGAAACACACTCGTGAGCCATCGTGGAGAGTTTTAGGTTCTGTGTAGGAATTTGCAGGTAGTTCATGGAGCACATGGGGAGGCAGTGGGGGAGGTGGGGGATGTCTGTGTTTTGGACATGTGCAGCTGCATTTAGGAGAGGAACTGAAGATGAGCGTGGTACGCTAAAAGGTGGTGGTGTTGGATCTGGTGACTTTGGCAACGATGGAGGTGATGCAGTACTAGATAAACTTGGAGAGGTGGCCTTTGGTGGAGAAGAAGAGAAGGAATGATGTGAGGCTTAAGGACGGTTGAAGTGAATGGATAAAGGTAAAGGAGGAAAGAGAGGGATAGGGTTATCGGTGTTTTTTGTTTTTTTAATGTTTGTGTTGTTTTAAGTTACTGTGAGAAGACTGAGGTAACAGGGAGTCGTCGTGATCTGTTTAAAGGTCTGTGCTGTTCTCTGAGCCTGCACCAGGCCTCCCCTTCCAGGCACAGGCTTTTCAGTCCATTTGGGGGTATTGCATCATTTTAAAGAATGCACTTTGCATGCTTCCTGATTAATGGTGTATTATGTGCCTGTGCACCTAAATTATTTATGACGTGGAGATTTGGAATAATTAGCTGTCATTCCTCCGTGGAGTAAATGAATTGCAGTGTTCATCATGCAGGAGACAGCCCATTTCTTACTCTCAGCTATGACCCGACTCTCTGGTGTGCATTTATTCTGAAAATTTTTCTCCTGTGCTTCAGACCTTCTCTTCCTGCTACCTCCCCTCCCACAGAAAATGTGTTTAAATCTACATGTGCTGCTTTACCACAGCACTTGGCACGGCTGCTTCTGTCCGTCCCATCTCCCACGCTTCCAGATCTTCTGCATTTTCACCCCTTCCACCGTCTTTACATTTCAGTCTCACTGTAACTCACGTTTTTCTTTATCCTTTGATCATACTTGCTCTGAGTATTCCGTTGGTGTAGCTCTTTTGCCTGTCACAAGGAGTTTGTCTTACCACTGGGGTGTCATTAGGTGCATGCTAATCCTGCTGGCTTGGAGGAATCGTGGTCGCATCAATAAAGGCAGATTCCTGATCCTGGAGGGTTAATGCTCCCGTGAGAGGCGGTATTGAGCACACTGTATATCAGCAGTTGTCCCTGCTGGCAGAGAATTAGGTATTGACAGTTTAATAATGAGATCTCATTGCTATTGACTTGCTTTCAGTGCCTGTTCCTGCTGTGCACTTTGCTGTGGTGCTTATCTAGCTTTCGAACATGGTTTACAGAGCGATAAAGGCATAGCTTATTAAATCCAAAAAAACACATTCTGGCAACACTGAGGCTCTGGCTTTGAATTTCCTGGCTTTTGTTAGTTTAAGTAAAAAGGCCAAATTAATCTTTGGTGTAAATGTACTGACTTCAGTTCACGGGAAGTGAACTGGGGTTACCTCATACACATGTGGGGCAGACTCCAGGCAGGGAGGGGTGATGTTGCCCAGAAATAGGGAGGAATGCATCTCCTTTCCTTTTGCATGTTTTACTTTCAAGGAAAGGAGAAGGAATCATTTTTTATTTGTCTTGGCAATGTGTGGTAGCTAGCTCAGCGAGCCCCTGGCTTGTAGCTGAGATAACACAAATAAAACATAACATTGAAATTTGGAAATTCTTATTTTTCATTTGCTGGATAGTTTATAATATGATACCACTCCTCTTATTTTTGAGAGTATGCTTTTAAGATAGCTCAGATCTAGAAGCAGAGTGAATGTGTACTTCTGGGGGTTGTATTGGCTTACTGCGTGATCTCGGGCGGCTTATGTTACATTTCTAAACCCCCGGGATGTAGTAATTCATACGGATCTTAAAATTTAGGTCATGTGTTCTGTAATGGCGCATACTTTGAGCGCTGCTTTAATGGGAGCGAGGTAAACAAGAGGCCACCAAGAGTGAAAGAGGGGAAGAAAGGCTCTGTTTAGTATCAGACTCTGCAGAGAGAAAAAGAATCTGTCATTCATAGTATCGTAGTGTGTTTATAGGAGATCGGTGTTTAGATGAGTAGATGGACTGGGAGGTGGGCGGGCGGGCAAACCGGGGGGGCAGTGGCTGGAGCAAGCCAGTGTGGTGTGCCTCGGAGACGGTCATCTGGAAACGGGCGCTAAAAATTACTGCTTTCCTCTGTTCCTCCGCGTGTGTGGAAATTACTACTTTGTAATGAATACATTACATAGCTGCACAGTCAGATTCATGGGCATGTAGTATCTCTCAGGGTTTTATTTATATGAGCCGTTCATTTGAATGAGTAAAATGCGTGTTCGTCTCGCCTGTGTGATACTAATTTTTCCCTGATTTGCCTTGTCCAAGCCTCAGCTAAGGTGAAGAAGCTGCTGTTGATCAGTGAGAAGTTCCCTAGACTTAAGATGTTAAAAGCTAAGAATGGTGTTTCCAAATAGCTCCCTGGAAACATCACGCAAGTGCCCAACTTAAATTTCTTTAGATTGGGATTCCCAAAATCCAGTCTTAGGTATTTCTGAGGGGCTGAAAACAAGAATTCGGGGCTGTTAGGGAATGAGGAAATGTAGCTCCTTTCCTACCGACACCTAATGCTTGCTGCCAAGTCTACAGTGCTAGAAGGCTTAAGATTTTTAGCTTTGAAAAAATTCAGCTTTCTTTTTAAAGTAGTCACATACCTGTAGTTGATCACCTGTCCCCCCTAAGTGCTGTCTGGTTAGATTAGCCCAGTAAGTGGATCTGCTTTGCAGAAAATGGATTTTAAAAAATAGTGAAAGATTTCACACCTTTTTTTTCCCCCTGTAATTCTGATGTTTGGTACAATGTCTTGTCGTCTTCTGTACGTGAAACAGTGACTGAGTTAACTCCAATAGCTAATCTGACATGGATGCCAATAAAATATTTGCTGTCGATCTGTTTATGTGTGTAAAATAAACACGAGATATTTTTGTTCCATTATGTAAAATTATATTCTATTAGATCTAATAGGTATAATGTTCCATTAAATATAATAGAACAAATTATTACACGGTTATTCAGCGTTCTGCTCTTTCAAAAAACGAGAACGTTATTTTCTAGCATCTCTGGAAGATGCAGCTGCTGTTTGAATTAACCAGGTACATTTTGTGTATCTGAGGAGGATGCGTGTGGAGCTGTAGCAGTTCTCTAGTAACGCTGGTGTGTGTGTGTGTGTGTGTCTGTTAGACCCTCCCGTGCACGTAGTCTCAAACGGGACGTAAGGCTGCTTCGCTGTCCGGTGTGGTTCTGGATGCGGGAGACCGGTAGATACCGTCATGGTCAAGGGAATGATAAGTCAGGGGCTGTTGTAGCTTCTTGGCTTACGAGTGGTGCCAGGCAAGAGCGTGCAGGCAGTTCTGGAAGCACGGGACTTGACCCCTCAGCGGCGAACGTCACCGTGTCTGGTTGTGGCTTCTGGGCCCTGGGAGGCCTTCCACCGCGTCGGGCGGCAGGGCCATGGCGTCGCAGCGTAACGCTGAGCTGTGCTTCTTTGCAGAGATGTGTGTACTGTCGGAAACGGATGAAGAAAGTGTCCGGTGCCTGCATCCAGTGCTCCTACGAGCACTGCTCCACGTCCTTCCACGTGACCTGTGCACACGCAGCCGGCGTGCCCATGGAGCCGGATGACTGGCCCTACGTTGTGTCCATCACTTGCTTCAAGCACAAAGCAGCTAACCAGAATGTACGTGGTTTTGGTGGTGGTTTGGGTTGGGTTTTGGTGTTGTGGGGGGGGGGTTGTGGGTGGTTTTGGTTTGGTTTGTTTTGTTTGTTTTTTTTTTGAGAACAGTTTCTCTGTGCCTGTATTTTTGACGCAGCTTTTATGATTGCAAATAGCAAATTCTTCCCTTTTCTCAATAACGCAGATTCAGTTTCGAAGGGAGGTGACCCTTGGACAGACTGTGATCACAAAGAACCGGAATGGACTCTACTACAGATGTAAAGTGATTGGCACGACCACACAGACTTTCTACGAAGTGAACTTTGACGATGGTTCATACAGTGACAACGTTTACCCAGAAAGCATTATTGTAAGCAGCTCTCTGGGGAGCCTGTTGCCGTTATAGATGAGTACAGAGTGTAACACGTGCATTCCTCTTCTAGGCGCTTTGGGGTGGAACAACAAAGTGAAACTTAAAAAAAAAAGTTAGGAAAATTAAAAAGTAAAGTTGCTGCACATGTGGAAAAACTCGTACTGCTCTTCATTACTGTTCATCTTGTTATGACGTTATCTCATTTCAATTTTTGTGCCTTTACAAAGATGTGATTTTCTATTGCAGATGACTTAACAGAAAGCAATATTTGTTTTAAGTTGCATCCTGTTTGTTTTGTGGTTGAATAATCTTATTTTTCAACTGACAAGTGTGATTCATGTGGGAAGCAGATTGTCTGTAAGCACTTCTGGTTCAAAATAGGGAATTCACTTAATAGAAGGAATGTGTCGAAGAGGCTGGCTTGTCAGCTCATGCATTCTCTTCCTGATTGTGCCATTAATTCAGCGTGTGAAGCGGAGCAGGTCACCCCACTTGTTGTTCTGATCTGAGAGTTTGGGGGTTTGTAATGAGAAATTTCCTCGAACTGTCACCAGAGGAGGTGCAAGTGTTTATTTCTGGTCTGTCCTTGGTTAATGGTTTTGTTTGAGATGACTGCAATTAATCACAAGTGCAGAAGCTTTCTTATACTTAGTGTTACGTAGCAACTTCCTTGAGCAGCGATTTTAACACGCCTGTTTCCTTACCTAGTTCTTGAGCTTTGTTGGTGTTGACTCTCTGACCTCTTTCTTTCTCATGTCTTCAGAGCAGAGACTGCATCCAAATGGGACCCCCTCCAGAGGGTGAGCTGGTTCAACTGCAGTGGACAGATGGAATCATCTATAAGGCCAAGTTTATTGCAGCCCAGATCAGTCAGATTTACCAGGTGAGTATGGAAGAGTACCCACATACTTCACGTCCACCTGTCTGATTGTTGCTTGAACTGTGTAGCTCGCCAGCGTTGAATGCTTGCTCTGGTCATGAAGGGAGAATTTGTCTTCTGAAATTAATACTGCTGGTAATCTAAAGAGAAATACAGTGATAAAATAGGATCAGGGTAAAGGTTTTCTGTGGCGGAATGTGGATGTACGGATAGACATAGGTCTAGACTGTATCTGCTTTTAAAATATACAAAATAAATTTGCCCTTTTCCTTATAGTTCAGATCTGACTCGGGTCAAAAGTGGCCTACTCGAACTACTCTCTGATGACTATCCTATGGCTGTAGCTGAACTCGACATCTGTAGTTCCCCATGAGTCAGTATCTACAAAATTAACCACTTTTCCTCAATTCTTTGAGAGGAGGCAAGGGAAATGACGGGGGGCAATAATCCTCTGGTCATGGGAAGGTACTTTGTGAAGCAGCAGCAGCGGCGTGTGGGAATAACGTCCTGCTGTTGTTGTGTGAGGAGCTGGAAACCTTCAGTCTCTCGTCTCACACGCTCTCACCATCTCTGTTTTTAAGGTGAGAAAACCAGCAGCCAGTTCTTTTGTCTTTGTCTGTTCCACATATGGGATTTTTGTTTGTGGAAGGTTGTACGAGTCAGTAAAGGAAGATCTAGCCCAGGACAGAGTATTTTGGCACAGAAGATTTATAAAATGCAGTACATCCATTTGATTAAATCCTTTTTAAATGGTACCGAGAAGTTGAAAATTACAGTGATTTGGAAAGTATACTTTGTGCCCAGCCTTTTGAAAAATACATGCTGAAATTTGCAAATAATTGTTACTTTTGAGAGATTAATGCCTCTGGACAAAAGGCAGAGGAATTCCCATATCTTGTACTTGTTTGAAGTGGGGTTCTGGTTTCTGTCCTTTCTACGCAGAGTGTTTCATATCTGTGTGTGAAGAGCAGAATAATCCACCCTGTCAGTTAACAGTCTTTTTGGTGTGTATAATGGATGTTAACTGCTTCAGAGAAGATATGATCTGAGGTGACCCTGGTTATGAATAAGTACAATATATAGCTCCATAAAGATCTATTGTTATGCATGCTTTCCAGTTTAATCACAGTATAGGAAATTGTCATTGATTTCTCGAAGGTACAATAATTTGAAATAAGCTATTCCACTGATAGTGCCAGATGACAGGAAAATATGCATGAGGAGTCCGTGTTTTTCAAATCCTGCAGTTACCTATAAGTAAAGCGCTTCCCCATAGGGAAAATAGCCTGAATAGCTTCCCACATTGCTTCCCTGTGTAGGAACTTTTTCAGTACTTACGGTGCATCTTTTTTATCTGTTTTGGAATAGGATTACATTTAAAAACACGGAGACAGTTTTGTTGCTTCATAGGAAGACAGCATGGCTTAGCTTTGGCAGTTCAACTCGCCTGATTTTGCAGTAGCTTCCCAGTTCACAGCTCTGAGTCTGCGTTTTGTGTTGCAGGATTAAATGTGTGTATTTTCCAAAACACTGAGCCCAAAGGACTGTCCTGTAACTTGCTCTGATGTATGTTCCTAACAGGGGTCTGACCCCTATCAGTAATGGGGAGCTTTAACAAGGCCCAAGCACTCTGTGAGAGTTTGAGGTGGCGCTGCCCTCAGCTGCGAATCCTGCCTTTCTGCCAGGAGTCGGGCTGGTGTCGTGGCGATGGCAGACAGCAACGGCTCGTGCTCGGCTGCTGAACTGCCTAATTCCTGTTCCCTTCTGCCTCTCTTACGGTAGTGGTGCTCTGTAAAACCAGAGAGTAAATGGGACCAGTAGCATCTTAAACCACCTCGGCAGGGCTCAGCAGAGCTCATCTTTCAAAGCCTGTGCTCCCGCCTGCCTCGTTAGTGCGGCTGATGGACGCTGCTCAGTGAAGGCACCTCGGCAGGTGTCGCTCAGCTTGCATAGCTGATGAGCTGCAAGACCTGGGCAGCGCAGGAGGAGGAGTTCAGAGCACAGATGCTGCTTCTTTCTGAGTTTGTCCAGTCTGAACCTGGCATCCTGTATTAAACTGTGGTGGGTGTCCTGCATTTATCCAGAAAAGCATAATAAGTCTTGAGCAAAGGAAATGAGAATCTCTTAAAAACTTTTAATAGTTTTAACATTTTTATGTGCACATTTCCATGAATAAACATTCCTGTAACACCTGATGTATAATTCATGATATAATCAGTGCTTAGCAAAAAAGGTTTGATGTGAGGAGTTACCACCATTTTTTGTACCTGGCTGACTATTTCTGCTTGTTAAAATACAAATGTATTTTAGTAGCTGGAGTTGTTTCCTTATGATGTGTGAAAATGCTTTGTTTAAGATGAAAGAAATTCTTATTACCATATTGGCCTGAATACGGGGCTGCCTTTTATTCACATTATAAGTGAAAAGCTGGGGTTTTTTCACGATTTGAATCAAAAATCAGTAGAAATCTTCAGTGCTCTGACTGGGAGGGGGGAGCAGAGGTGCTGGTCCAGCCGTAGCACAGTCATTTCAGGATCCACAGGAGCACTGGATGAAACCACTTGGGCCAGATAAAGACGGATGCCTGAGCAGCACTGAAACCAGCACTTCTTGGCTTCGGCATCCTTCACCCAGCTTAGGGACGCGCGTTCTACGGCAGTCCCAGCGACGGGCAGTGCCAAGAACAGGGGCTCATCCATGGGGTTGGCCCCTGATGCTCCCTTGGTCCCCTAAAGGGACTGTATGTGGCATGGGAGTGGGAGTGGACTGTTCGAGTACTGTAAAGGTAGAGGCCAGGTTCTTACTTCATCTTCTGCCTCCTCTGCAGGTCGAGTTTGAAGACGGTTCTCAACTCATGGTAAAGCGTGGTGATATTTATACCTTGGAGGAAGAGCTTCCCAAGAGAGTGAAGTCTCGCCTGGTGGGTATCAACAGACACAGTAAAATGGCTGTGGCTTGCAGAACACATTCACGTTTTCTTAGCGTATTGTTTAGACATTAGGTGAATGCAGCCTCCAGTTTCTGCAGCTGTAAAACCACTTGTCATTCACAAAATACGTAGAGTAGAAGAACTCCTTGGCGTAAACACTTGAAAAACATTTAAATTATTTTCCCTTTCACATGTGCAGATCTGATTTTTGTTTTCACTGCTTAAAAGATTGTGTTCATACCATCTTACACCGTATGAATTTAGTTATACGGACTGCTATTCTGTCTGAATACTGCCTTTCATCAGAAGTGAAGTGAATTGGTCTACAGCTAAGTGGTTTCTGGAAAACTGATTAGCAACATGGGACCAAATCCCCGTTTCTCACCAAACAGAAGATTTAGAATGTAGCTCTCGCCTATAAAGCTCTTAATCTAAAAGATCAGGCTGTCTTTAACTGCACACAATGGAATTATTGAGCCTAGAAAATATAGGGTATTTACTTCATAGCTTTTTTCATTCCAGACTTGCTGGGTGTTTTCAGACCTGGTGCTTTAACCTTTAAAGCCATCTCACTTAAGCAAATGATAAGGCTGGTGTCTATGCAAGTGGAGAATATACAGTTTTCTCCTTCATTCCAAATGTCTGTCATGTCCGCCACTGCAGGAGAGGGATGGACCCACAAAGTTAACCTGTGATAAGGTTCTGGGCTCCTGTCTCTTTTCACAAGACAAAAAGAGGATGATGGTCCAGCCTTCCCTTAAGAATATATGATTTGCTATGCCAAGTGAAACCAGTGGTTCGCTGACCCTGTGAACTGGTGGCCCGTAGCAGAACAGATGCACATTGTCAAAAATAGCCTGGCAGTTCTGTGGAAGAACTGATGACTGTTTGGAGGAATCCTTTGTTTGCTTATGCATGAAATCATCAAGGGTTTTGCCCAAAAAACACTTATAAAATGCTTTCTGTAGTGTAGCCCTGGATGGCTTCTCCATATTGTTTGAGGTTGTTTATCTCAATAAGACCTCATGGCGTAAATTTTAGAGGTTAATAATAATTTACCTTGTTATCCTTGAAAGACTTGTGGTGGCAAAGAAACACCTTAGGATTAATTTCTAAGATGTGCACAATATTGCAGTTCATTTAAGCTTGTCTAATAACAAAGACAACCTACTGGAGCCCTGAAATACAGGATTTTGAAGGAAACATATCCTCTGCAGTGAAGACATCAGGCTTTATCACAGTTGCAGAGAAAGGAATGCAAGCTGGAAAGTGAATAGAAAGTTTCAAGTCCACTTGAAAGCTGAGGCTTTTCTCGTGTACTTTCTGCTGCCAGAAGGGTTAGACCATGCTCTGTGGAAGCGATGCTCACAGTGCTTTGGTGTGGTGCAGCAGAACAAAGGAACAAAGCGATAGGAGAGGATAATTTCTACCAAGAAATGCATCTCATTTCAGAGTGGAAGAGCAGGATGAACAGAAGCAGTTGTTTGTACAGTGATCCCCAAGTGCTTTCTTTGGGTCCCTTTTTTTTTAAAAAAAGACAGTAGGGAAGCCCCAGTCTCCTCTGTGCCTTCTGCTAGGAGCAAATAACCTGAAGAGGCCAAGGAGGATAGGAGTAAACAGAGAACTGGCAAGGCAGGAGCTGAAGTGAGAGATACTCTGAAACAGAAAGAAGGCAACTCGAGGGTTTCTCTTTCCAGACCGGTTTCAGAAGCCCAGAATTTGTAATTTCAGCTGCGTGCGTTGCATGTTTCGGAGGTCACTTTTTCTGCAGGAACACGCTGAACCAAATAGTTGACGTGCTGTCCCTGCTGTCCCCTTACGCAGGGCTGCTCCACGGTTTGCACCCGCGTCTCTCCCCGTTTTCCTGCCCTGCCTCTAATGATTGTGCTTTCGTGTCTCCTGCAGTCCCTCAGCACTGGGGCCCCTCAGGAAGATGTATTTTCGGGAGATGAAGCGAGAGCAGCCAAACGTCCCCGGCTGGGGAATTCAAGGAATCCTGAAGAATATGGACAAAACCCAGATTACTTGGCCTTTATGGAGAGCCTGTTGCAGACACAGTACCAGCCTGGAACTCAGAGCAACATGTTTTAACCAGGATTCATTAAAAATATTAAATTAACCCTTTTCAAGCCTGTGGAAAAATAAACAGGAAACTGTTGAATAGAAGACCAGCCTTGTGCAATAGCCTGCTGTGAATTTCTTTCGTCTACTCTTGGTTCGAACTGCGAGAAGATCCTGTCTGGCTGCACGCTACCTCTACTTTGCCAGACGTTGCTGACCAATAGAGTAGGGAGGTCGGAAAACCTTCAGACAGCATTTCACGTGGAGACTTTGGAAGAGTTTGTACTAATAGATCTTTGTGACTGGCTCCTTTTTTGAGGCTTGGAAAGGGTTAAAATTTAACAAAATGACTTTTTAAAATATGTCAAACTCTTTTGTCTTTAAAGGTGCTATTACATTGACTACTGAAGCAGCCTTTGGAATTGTGTTTTCTGTACATAGACGTCACCTTTGTGAAGTTTTCTATAAATGAGCATTATTAAAAAAAAAAAGCAAACAAAAATAGGAAAACAAAAGTTTCCACAAAACATTTTTCTAGATTATGGCTTTAAAACAGGAAAAAAACCCCCAAGAACCTCCCCTCTCACCCCCAAATGAAATGTGACTAATATTACAGCGGGGGGAGAGAACAAGAGCAGATGTCCTGGAAAGTTCTGGTTCTTTTTTGTAAAGAAACACTATCTTCTTTGTAAGCTGGGGAAGATGGGGAAAGAAATGTTTCATAGCTGGGATGTTTCTTACCGGTAGTTTTCCTAAAGACATGTGATAGATGTGTGCATTTCTGCCATGTCACCAGGAAGGGACTTAGGGAAGAAATGGCCGGGTTTTGGTCATTCTTGTCATCTTCCTTCCCCATCTTTGCCATCACCGTTGCTTTCTAGTTAAAGATCAGCATGGCTTTCAGTTACAATACGCCACTCCGTTTTTGGCAAGTGTTCTGTTGTTGCTTCTTGTGTTAGTTCCTTTACGAGCCATCCCCCTTCCCCACTGCAGACTAGAGCATCGAGGAGTTGCTCTAGCTCTCTGGTAGGCATGTCTCCCATAGGAATCTTTTTATTTTCTATGTCTCCTTTTTTTTTTTTTAATTTTTTTTTTTTTTTTGAGTTGTGCTCCTTACAGTTGTGAGAATCATTCCATGACAGAGCCTGGGAGGTGTTTGTATGTTTTTCTTTTATCCTATTAAAGAAGAAATTCCCCAAACATCTTTGATTGTTGTGACATCCTTTACTTAAGTAAAGACTGAGCCTTTGAGATTCTCGTGGGGAAGAGGAATGCAAAGCCCTTCGTTTGATTGGACTCAGTTCACTGAGAATTGAACGAGCATTAAAGGCAAAACCAAATCCTGAAGCGTGGAGTGGGCAGCTCCTACTTGAACACTTGAAACCCACCTCCGGTCGAAGAGCTGTTGTGGAGCAGTGTTTTATAAAAGAACCTGATCCAAAACCCTGCTGAAGTCACTGGAAAGTCTTCCACTCTCTTGGGAGGACCTCTGTCAATTCGGAGGGAGAGAAAAAGGCAGCTCTGGTACAGAGTTGGAAAGGGGACGTGGCTTCCACAGTGTCTGGGTGAAGGGGGGCAAGGGCACGTCGTACCACTCACCTCAATGCCTTGGCCTGGCAGAAGCCGCGGTGAGATAGCAGAGCTATCAGAACGCTGCACAGCAATCTGTTCCACTTAATTCCCTGAAATTACTGGACAGAAAGAGACAATATTCGTTTCTTTCCTTTTTTTTTTTTTTTTTTTTTGTTCAAAGCCCCTTTGCAAGGTGGTGGTTGTTCTGTGGAGAGGCTTTTAAGCAACGCTATAGCTGGATCTTTAAGGGAATAAGTGGGAAGGATTTGTGGGCTAGCAGATGGTAGATTAGCATCTTAAGAGACTCGATGGGTATTAAATTGTCCTAGTGAAAGAGTGGAGATAGGCTGAAGCAATTTTTTTTTTTTAATTTTGTCTTTTGTTCTCCCTTTATTTCTTACTGCCTCTGCTACGGGTTATTTTCTGTGTGTGTGTGTGTCTGCGCGTGTGCACGCGTGCGTGTTTGTAAGACGTTTGAAACAGGGTTTTTTTATTTCTGAGTTTTTGACGTTTTCAATAGATGTCTCCAAGAATAAAAACAAACTGAGACTAATAAAAGTTTTAAAATTTGGCAAGGTTCTTAAAAGCCTCGATTGTTACTCCTACATAGCTGTCTCCTGTTGGTTAAGACATGATTTAGTAGAAAACTTGCTTGTATAAAAGAATAAGAATGTTGCCAGGTCACAAGAGAAATATTTAAAACAAACGAAAGAGAATTTAAACAGCAGAGGATTTTATTTGGAGGTGGGGAGGGGAAGGGTGGGATGGGATGAGTGGTTGTGAGCAATGGGGAATTTCCTCTGCATGTTGAAGTCCTGACTGAAGTAGCAGCATTACTGTGTTCATATGTAGTACCTTTTTAAAATACTATTTATATTGTAAAAACAAAGTGTGTTTCCTCACCCCATATTCAGATGCTGAGTTATGGTTAAACATGAACCTGGAACTGTAGAATGCCCTTCCTGGTTGCAAGGGTTCTCCCTTTTTGTTTCTTTTTAAATCCCTCTCTTTGGGTGAGGAATGGCTTGTGCAGATTATCTATAATGACCATATTGACGGCCTCTGTGCATCAGACTATTGAAAAGGAAATAGGAAATGCACATTCCTACCCTCCCCTTCCTCCGGTGAAATATATTTGTAAGTGTCTGATTATGTGCTATAAAAATAATGATTTTTTTTTTTTTTTTTCCCCTCCTCCCTAGTTTAAGGATGTGATGTATTTTTCGCATATTTTTTTTCTCTGCCTCTAGGTTCATAATGAATTAAAGGCTGTTGAGCACTTCAGAATTACACTTTTTGGGAGGTTGAAGTCTCTTCATTTCTAAGTTTAAAGTCTTTTATACCGCAGGAGAAGGTGTCTCGCAGATCTGGGTAAAGCTGCCTGATAAAACTGAGCCAAGAGAAGCTGAGACAGATGAAGAACACGGTCTTTTCCTTCCTCTCTATTAACCATGCAGGAGCAGAGGTCTGTTGTTGCACCCCTTCCCAAAATCAAGAACCGAGCTTGCAGCGCATATTTGTCCAAGGCCCGGGATTTGCTCCAGCTGGCTCGCTCACCTAGCCAGAGGTGGTTCTAAAACCCTTTGTCTTTTCAGTCACTGGTTTGCTACTGCTTTTTGGAGCCTGCTTCATAGCCTTCCAGTAGCCTTTCTTTCTAGCCCTTGGAGGTCGTGCTGACATTGAGCCTCTTAAAATAGCGTCTTCCTGAACCTTTGTTTAAACACCTTCGTTTCCCATCCTGAGCCCTAATACTTTTCTAGAAATTCCTCTCCAATTGTTGCAGTATGAGGCTAATGCTGCAGATTATGTGAAAGAAATCTCCAACTTCCAAGTCTTTTGCAGCTTAATAGTTTTTCTTGAGATAGTCTAAGGAATCATGCTAGTGGGAAGAAGCTGCTGATACAAAGTCTGTTGGAATTTACACCCACACAAAGCTTACCTTTGAATTTAAGGTCTGCTATATTGCTGTAATAAGAACTAATATAATTTTAAAGATGTCTTAAGAAGCAGTACATACTTCCAAGTAACTGCCTGGCTCAGTGATCAAAAGGCAAGGATCAAACCTTTGCGTCAGTCTATCACAGCCTCGCAGGGTGGAATAGACATTTCCACACAAACCCCCTAAGTCACCGTGGGTTTCTGTTACTTGCTGAGATTGCTACACTAAAATATAGATGATGTCGGCTTATAGGAAATTATGCTGTGCCCAGGGAGTCCTCAGGGAGACAATGTGAATACTACAACTGCTGGAGTGAAGAGCTTTGCTTCCCACGCTTTGCTCTGTCTAAGTACCGTTCGGGGCGGGATGAAAGAGTGGAGATGAGCACAGCTCGTTAGCCGCCTCTTCTAACCTCTACGTCTTCCCTATCCCTGGAGAAAGTGCATTTGTGTGAGTCCGTTAAACCTGTGCCGCCGAGCTGCATCTCTTACTAAAGCACGTTCCGATTTCCTCCTCCTGCTTTTCCACATTCTCCGTTGGTGCCAGCTCCGTCCGCTGGAGGTCCTGCCGCTTTGTCCTCCTCCAGCCCTGGGCAGCGTGGTCATGCCCGGGTACCTGCTGTGCTTTGCTCAGGACTTGGCCGTTCGTGGACCGGGGTTGCCAAGGTAGGGATGAGACTCCTTGCACAAAGGACTGCTGCTGCTTCTTGCTGCTTCGCAGAAGTCCAGCTGCTTGGGCTGGCGAGCGGCGGGGGGCCTTGCCACAAGCAGTTGTTTTGAACCCAGTAGCGCAGAAGCTGACGGAACTCCCTGAGTCAGCGTCACCAACTGTCACATGCACAATAAAGTCGTTTCATGATAATTGCTGGCAGCGAGGAGAAGATGGGGATGAACAGGCTGCTTGTTCCTACTCTGAGGCCAGCAGAGACTTGCCGTACGCCTGGAGAGTGAAACTGGATGGAGATTCATTAACTCCTTGCCTGGCTAGAGAAGGATCTTTAGCTTGGTGAGAAGAAATGGAGGAAATAATTACCTTTTTTTTTTTTTTCCTCTGTAAAGGACAGGATTATTTAGAAAACTAAAAGGAGCAGTGTCGATTGGGGTGAGGCTATTTAGTGCTGGGGCGGAATGGAGAGCCCCAACTTCCATGGAGCTTGATTAGACGTCTGCCTCTTTGTGTCAGGGTTCTTTCACTCTGAAGAACTTCTTGTGATAACTTCTTGTGATAACTTCTAGTGCCGTTGGAACAATTCTGCTTGCAAATGCCTTTCTGCAAATCTCCAGCGTGCAGAGCACGTTCACACGTGGCGTTTTGTGGCTTTCCCGTTCACGGCCTCTTCTGGCTCCCAGCTTTGCTGCCTGTACATGGGAGGACATCACGGGCTTTCAGGCGCTCCCTTTTGGTGTACTTGCTTCTTTCCTTTTTGCTTTACTTTTATGACTGTTCAGTTTAGGGAAGGAGCAGATGATGGAAAAACCTTGTCACATGCTGTAGACATCTGTGCTTTAGCCAGTTTTGCAGAACTTCTATTTCTTGAGGTTATTCTGTGGGGATTTTTCTCTGTTCCTCTTCCCTCGCTGTTCATATTAGTTCTTCATCAGTAGTTCTCCTTCAGCTTGAACAAATTGCACCAGTTTAATAAAACTACTCATTAAACAGGTGCAATCCCCTTCTGGAAGAATGCCCTTGTTTTGGTTGGAGTGGTTTACTTGGGGAGTTTTAGCTTAAGGTAATCAGGAGCCGTTTTAAACTAAACTTTGCTTTGAATCTGGGCATGCTGTTTTAGGTGAATAGCAGTTTGTGTTGAACTATGGAGTTTCTCATGAGGGCATGTCTTCTGTGGTGGTGGGCATCGTTCATCTGAGGGCTCAGAGGAAGATGGTGATAGTTCAGCACGTTGCTTATGTCAGTTCTTTCTCTGGCTTGAATTTCTTCGCTGCATAAGGTGAGCCTTTCCTGCAGTAGGTTCCTTTGCTAGTGCTGCAGCAGGGAAGTCCTTGTTAGTTTTCTTGTTTGGGCTTTTCCCTGCCCTATGTAGAGCTGGAGGTGGCCTAATAAGGTTTTTGCACCCTCTTGGCAATAATTAAATAATTGCGAAGTCCTGACGTTCAAGTAGACCAAGTTGGGAAGAGCGCAGGTTTGTAGAGGAGCTTTTTCCAGCATGTGATTGGGCTTCGATGGATTAAAGCAAGGAGCAACACTGTCTGCATGGAGCCTGCCAAGTGCCAGCGCTGTCCCTCTCACCAGGTAGGTGTGATAGCAGCCACGTACAGCTCTTTCCACGCTCTCCTGTTGTCTGACACGTTGCTGCTGCTTCCCAGGGCGCTCGCCTGCGTGTCTGTCCGTGGGATGCACAGAGCAGCCACGTGACG